TTAATGAGCCTGAATTTTTGTGATATTCAGAGTGAAGAATTCAACGTGCTTTTAGAAGAATCTGAGCACATGCATGTGAAGAGAAGAGAGGCGTCTGAAATGCTTAAGGTAAATGCTCTTTATCCGTAATGACGTCATATATTTATAATTTTGTCGAAGTGCATCATGGTATTCAAGATGGCGGACGTCATATGAAAATTATCGAAAACAAACATTCTTTGTGAAATAAGCTGAAAAGGTTTTCCAAGGAATGTAAAAAATAAATATTGCTGTTTGTAAAACGGATTGAAATACCGACAACATAGGCCTTTTCTGAAATTATAGCAGTTTGCATTGCATTGTGGTCTAGATTCGGTACAAACATCTTTTGTTCGCTGAAGCTAGACCACAATGCACCATGATTTTGTATTTCGGAAGTGATCTATAGCTTCAGCGTGTACTTCGTCAATCCCATAGTGCACCTCGCCAAGCATTTCCACGGTTTCAGCACAGGTAGCCCAAGCACTGGKCTTGACAGTGAAAAACTAAAAGTTCGATAAAAGTGGTAAAACTGAATAAAATTATTTCAAACTACAACATAGTGTTCTTCTTATTTTTCTCAACACCCCTGTGAAGTTTCAGCTCATTATGATAAACTTTCCCCTACTTATATATATTATGATAATACTGTATGATACTGTCAAGCCCAGTGCTTGGGCTACCTGTGGTTTCAGCAAGGCTTTCGTAACGGCACTACAAGCTTATATGAACGTAAAACAACGAACACTTACATTCACGGAAATAAGACTCTAAACGGCCTATGACCATATGAAAAATGAACAGAAGGGAAATGAGCACCTTAAACGGACCATGTTTTTAAAACTCTCTCCGATAAGAAAGAGTATATTTAAACTAGMAAATTGGCGTATTTTTAATTTCAAATGTCAAAATATAGGCAGAGCTACGAGGACTTAAAACGTACCAAAAACGCRAAAACGAGGTTGGTAAGGCCTCAGTTCTGATTTTCACTCAAACCTTTSCAATTWCAAAYMCCTGTAATTKYTGGTCYTTAAATGCAAGAGCATTRMAACTTTCAGATCTCACTCATTATAATATGTTCTTTCAACGGGTAGTAGGATATATTATACAACTTATAAACTCAGGCGTTACGATAGCCTCGCCCTTTTTCATATGGTCTGTTTATAGTGATTTTTTTGGGGTAAACCATGGTGCCCTCTTTATCATACTACTCTGTATTACAAGTACACATTTTCTTTGTTTAAACGATGTGTCACTTGTTATAATACTTTATTGCACTTTTTCATGATCTCAGCATTGTGCAGCGATGCCATTTTATGCAGCAAAGCATCATGGTAGTTGTAGCACTCGTACTTTGCATAGACCCTAAAATGTCGCTTTTTTACACTTTCTCTCTAGAAAGAGCAAAACGGCATCTATTTTGTTCCGTAGAAAAAGGAAAAACGATTTAGACTGTTTTCAGGGTCCGTGCAGGTCCTTAAATCCTTGAAAAGTGCTTGAATTGAAAACTCGTTTTCAAGGGCACTTGAAACTCCTTGAAAATTTGAAAATTTCGAAAGAAAAAGTCCTTGAAAACTCCTTGAAATTAAAAGATGGATCTCTATCACGAAGCGCTAGCGATCTCTGAATTATTCCGTTCAGCTGAAGTTGTGATGTAAAAATGTACAATTAGCATGATTTTGATGCTCCTTGAAAATATAATTTTGGTCCTGCAAAAAGTCCTTGAAAAGTTCTTAAATTTCGTTTTTGATACTTTGCACGGACCCTGTGTTTTACCCGACANAGTATGAGGACTATAACTACCATCATGCTTTGCTGAACAAAATGGCATCGCTGCACATTGCCTATTCTCGCAGGCTWCGTACAGTGTACCAATGATAGAACATACAACTCAAAATTGTGCGCAAATATCTTAGCTACCTAGAGTATTCAAACACATCTTTTATCTATTATTTCAGGCGCTTCAGCGAGCTGGACAGATAATAAGTGAGATACGAGATACGCATGTGTGGTAATATCTTTTTGGCTATTCAAGGCATTTCAAACTATACCTGTTCTACTAKAAATATTAGCTTCAATACAGAATATTGCGAACTGTTGTAACTGTATAATCTGTCAAACAAACAAAGGAATAAAATCAAATKAAATATTGCTGAGGGTTAAATTAGAGATGATGTTATTTAGGATGATTATTTCCAACAAGGCTATATTGCTCTAAGAGCAGTGCAGTGCAGTGCTGCGTTTGTCTTTTTTTTTTGTCTATAAATAGTAGCTTACAAATAGGGTGCCTTACTAATGGGGGGTGGGGGTGGGGTGTGTTCTTTTTTTTTTTTCAAAATACGGATCTACATTAAATGTTTGATAAATTAGTTTAATTCACAGTATAGCGTGTAAGAACTGGCTGCTAGTATGAGTAGTTCAAAAATTACTATCTAAAACCAGTTCATTTCAGTTCAAAAGCATTTCAAAATAGAACAATAAATTGAAGAACACTGGACCTTTTAAGCTTGCCGGGGGAAAGGCTCGTTGAAATCAGAAGGTTTACAATGCCTCGTGATTGTTACTTTGAAAAAACTGGATATTTATTGTTTCGATTTGCTCCAGGAACAAAACATTTCTATAATTCAGTCATAGCACCCCTTATAAACTCGTAAAGCAACGGTCCTCTGCTGTCACGCAACGCTATCCGTGTGAAGTGCGTAATTAACTTATTGATTTTTGGCCATTTTTTTGGATTATAGTCCATGCTTTTTGATAGCCCACCAAAATGACCGATTTTTGATCAAAAAGCATGGACTATAGCCCACCAAAATGGCCAAAAATGACCGATTTTTGATCAAAAAGCATGGACTATAGCCCACCAAAATGACCAAAAATCACTGATTTCTGATCAAAAAGCATGGACTATAGCCCACCAAAATGAGCCCATGCTTTTTTATGAAAAATCGGTCATTTTTGGCCATTTTGGTGGGCTATAGCCCATGCTTTTTGATCAAAAATCGGTCATTTTTGGCCATTTTGGTGGGCTATAG